GAATTTTCAGTCCCATCCATCTATATTATATGGGTACTACATAATGAATATTCACATAAGAATATGTATTTTGATTTTGAGTGATTTTTCACAGCCATTAAAGTGGAGGTATAACATCAATAAATAGCTTGTGTTGCATATCATCATGTTCTTTTTAATTTGAAAAACTTGTAGGAATTAGTCTTATTGATTGGATTACTTATATCTGAAATAAATTGTTTGGCTCACCTATAATAATTCTCTTGAAATTAAGTTAAGTTTCTCGATTAAGAGGAACTAAAAAGAAAAAGCATCACTTATGAAGGAAGAAGAAGTTCAATGAACCCATTTGGCATTATACAATTTGGAATTATCTAATAATAGATACATACACGAATACAACATATATGTCTGTATTCGAGATTGGAACCTCCACTTTTATGGGTTTTTGTCATGGCATGAGGTGGATTTGGAATCATGACTATATTTTTCTACATAGAAAAATTGTTAAAGAGAAAAAAATAAAAAGCTGTTTTGGTAATATTGATTCTGAGAAGACGGAAACGTCCAAACACGCCCTAACAAAGACAAAACAAAACCCAAAAACCATCTCTTTTGTTTTTGTTGTTTTGTTAGAAAAACAAATAACAATAAAAGAGATGAGGCTGAGGCTTGGGTGTGGGATTTGTCTGTCTTCTTTAAATGTTCATTGTCTTCTCATTACTTTTGTCTTTGTCTTTTTCTTCTTTTTAATGCCTACATTTTTGTCGTCTTCTCTGCTTTCTTTCTCTCTTTGTTTTTTACTGTGTGAGAGAGAACATAATACAGTTTAAAAACTAAAAAGACCATTGACCAGAGAGATTCTACAGAAAAAGAATGATGTTATTTTACTATTGTACCTCATCTAACATCCTGCATAATACCAAATCAAATCTAAAATGTGGAGTCAACTTGATAATAGTATAGTAGGTGAGATCTTTGTGATTAAATAATTGAAAGAACACTTCCAGTCCTTTGTGAACATTTTGTAGGGTTCAAGTTCAATTAATGCATTGTACTTATAGGGGTTCAAAACCCGGTTAATGATACCTAGACAACACTAATAATATAAACCGATAATTAAAATATTAGATGATGAATTAACATATTTGGATGCATTAAAAAGCAGTACGTATAATCAAAATATCAAATATAAAAATTAAAACGGCAGGCTAAATTTAAATAATCTAGGGAAATACATAAGCGTAGCTAGAGATTTCAAAACCTATAGCATACAAATCAGCAAAATAATGTCTAACGCATCAATTTTGCTTTTCTCGGTCTTTTGATGATTCCAACGTTCAAATTAAAGAAACAAGTGTAGTATAAAAAAGAGAACAACAGACTTCGTTACAATCAATAGATCCCCGGAATGATCCTGTATTTGACTTTCTCACAGTACAGCTTCCAATATTTCCCATACCTTACCAAAAAAACACACAACCGAAATATTGTCAGCAAATCAAAAGGTACGATGTCTAAATAAATAATTCAGATTTGGTGCTTACTTTGATCGGCATCGGTCATCGTCTCTCTTGGCTCGATCGAAGAGAAGAATGGTGAGAAATATGACGTAGAAGTATGCCAAGAACTGGTTGAAATAGAGCAGAGTGTGTTAAGTTTGTCTCACTTGCAACAAGAGCATATAATATAGCAAAGAGATGGAGAAGGATTTTACATTATCGAAGAGAGCCGGTACAGTCCAGAAGAAAGCACTTAAGATCTCAGGAACATAATGGAAATGACGAGCCAAACCCCACCTGCACAGTCAAAGCCATTGATGATGACAAACGCCTAGTTAATTGTTGTTACAGTGTAAAAGTAGAATAGCCTCACCATCCAGACGTTAAGAGAAGACTAGTTTTAGTTTCACCAGATGTTGTAGTATACGACGCCACAATCTGCAACAAACCGAGAGACCAAGATATATTCATACACATCAAAATGTTTAGATCTGAAAAAAGAATAAAGCTAACTTCACTGAGCTAGTTGAGGCTTATTATGATCACACCTTTGACGGCGCTCTGCCCCAAACCAAACATTTCCCGTTTGTCCTCCTGAACTCTTGCCTTTGTCTATCACAGTCATAGTTTATGTATATGCAGAGAATTCCTGCAACTAGAATGTATATTGCCAACTGCAACCAAAGACGGATATAGTGAAGTCTTAGATACGGAGATAGGCATAAATGTCCCAACGATTGTCGCCTCAGTAGTGTTTCATGAACAGCTTTATTCTACTACAAAGACTGATATCTGACAGCTACAATCATGAGCCATAAGACGCAACGAGCATTTGATCAACATTCTACGTCTAATGTAATGGAAGATACCCAGTAATTCAATTACAAGATTTGAAGTGCAATTACTAGAAATTGGGATTGTCACATTTAGCTAAACGTGACTTTTTTCCATATGAAAAAGTGGTATTTTAAAAGTTTCTCGTTTGATTAACACAAAAAGGGTATTTCTCTCTTCAATACAAATTAAAAATCATGCACCTGAGTTCCAAGTTCGACGGGGTGGTTCACAAGGTACATGCCTGGAGAAGTGTACACAGAAGGCACCCACACTAGACAACCCCAGCATATATAGAACCCAGCTGAAAAATCATAAATTATAAAGCATCAGAAAGTAAGCTTCTGTCCATGGGTCAAAGCTAGAGACAATCATCTGAATAAAAAGCTGCAGCCATATAAACAGAACTGGCAAGGAAATTATAGCCAAACAGTAAAGAAACTTTTGTTGTTGCAACTGGCTTTCTTTCCTTGTACCCTATATGAGGAAGATGATGATTTATAATTTTAATCTATGTACCAGAAGCATACCTCGGTCATGTGCAATGTCCATGGTGTTCCAATAACCAGCTTCCCACCAGAAGAATTTTGTGACATACACCAGCATCAGGATGGTGTTCACCAGCATTGAATCAGATACTTTGCCATTTATTTCATACTGGTTAAAGAAGGTATAGGAATCACAAATCAGAAAGAGGTGAAGTTCTCTAATGAAATAAGGACTTAAAGAAACCTCCAGGTTATGTCGTCAGAGTGTAGTATTTACATAAGAACTATCCAGAAAGTACCTGTTTTATGCAGTACGTGACTGCAAGAACTGCCCAAGACATCATTCCGAATCTGCAGTTAGTAAACACCTTGATGTCAAAGTTCTTACCAATTCGAGGGTACAACTCCATGCCCTGCAAACCACGACGCAAAGAACACAGTGAGAAATAGATTGCCACAAATGGGATTGTCTTAATGATAAGCTGAACAAAAAGAGTACATTGTGAGAGATGATCTCAACTTGAGATTGTTATACAAACTACTGAATACTTTGTTCTTGTCCTTCACCGACTACTGACATTTTAGACGACATTCATACCAAACTAGTTCTCTTGTATCTAGTCAATAAAAAGATAAATACTGCTAAGAACATTGACGAATACAGGTCTACTAGATGTGGAACTTTAGTAAAGCTTGACATCCAAATGTCGAGAAAAGAGGCAACCAAATTATGAGGAGATGGCTAATAAGACACGAGTTCTTCGAATAAATCCCAACGAGTAATTTCAAAAGAATGAGAATCTGATCAGCAGAAATAACTCACCCAATAGAAGTCAATTATTAGGTTACCACATGAACCAGAGTCATTTGATGAAGGTGCAACATGGCCCTGTACAAGAAAAAAAAACAAAGTTTTAGAAACACAAAAGGTCAAATTCTATAATAGTAGAGACTAAGAAAACAAAGAACACACCATTAATGACATAGACACTTACTTTTATGTACAACAAAACACAAAATATGAAGCTTCCAAATATTAGTGCCGAAAATATTTCACCCAAGTGATCATAGACAATTGCAGGGTTGAAGATCCCAAACCTGAATAACGCAAAGAAGTGAACTCACATAAGTGCAACAGTTAATCCAAGCTTAAGATACGTAAGCATAAACTTAATCCAAACCAAAGTCATCAAAAGATTAAAACATTTCTTACCACCAAAGACCAAGATAGGTGGCTAGTGTCACAAAGTAAGCAGCCACACCATTGGCCTGCAAGAACAGAACCGTACAGTTATCATCTGCATCGACTTCCACCACACAAGGCTAATCGAACTCATGCAAGGCCATTTCCAGTACCTTGTAAACTGGTCGGTTTCCTGCTGGAGATATTGGACCCTCAACTCTTTTACCAGGTAGAAGCAGCTGAAGAGCAGCTTCAAATGCGCCATAGCAAAATATAATTTCCCAAGCAATCAAAGTGGGTCTTGGCCAAATGTTGATGAGTCCTTGAACTCCATTCTCCCAAAAGAAGCCAAAGGTCTGAGTAACAGAACCATCCTGATGAACCATTGCGTACCATCTACATCATAAAGAAATGAAACTTGTTTGCATTACTTAAAAACTCACTGAAACTGATGGTCTCGGGATAACTTATAATCACAGCTAACTAATTTCCAACAAGAAAGAATGTCCACTATTCCCCATATTAGATTAAATATGATTTTGTAGCTTTAAAACTACTCTAATTGCCTAAAAATCTGGAAACTCACAATTACCATAGAAAGAATCATTGAATCGCTTTTTCAATCAAAGATTCATACGGTTCCTACTTAATGGGAAATGATTTGAAGATATCGGCTATTCACTTCTCGTTATGAATTCAGGAGATAGAAAAATCTGCGAGGCCGATCTTACAGGAGAATGACGAAAGGTGGACAGAAAGCGAGAAGCGATAACATCGATGCGTAAGTAACGATCGGAGAATGTACAGTCTCCGCCATCTTCTTCTTCTTCTTCTTCGCTTGTCTCGGCCAAAAGCTCAGATTCTGATCTGTGTTGACTAATCCCAACAGAGTCTGCGAAGTTAACGATGAACTTCACAGGACTACTGTGAAAGTGAGATAAATCCCACGTGTCACGTGCTCTCCACATGTTTTTTTAAATTCCAATTTTACCCTTTAGACTTTTCTTCGCCATCGTTATTGATCCCAATCAATCAATCTTCTTTTGCTTCTTCTCTCTCAAACCTCAAAAGTTCATCTTCGTCTCTGTATTCCCCACATAATAGTGATGAATCGAGACTAACAAAATTCAATTCCCATCACTCTGATTCGCAGCCGTAGTTTACCAATTTCTTTTACTTGCAAGCAATGGCTTGTCTTGGAAGAAATTTCTCGAGAATTGGTTGAGTTCGTGTAAGTATCGATTTTTCCCCTGCGAAACCCTAGATCGAGTTTTCTGATGCTGTGTTGAATTCTTTCGCATTCACAGAAATTTTAGTATGTTTAAGAGATGCAATTAGTGCCTAGTGATGATGATGATGATAGGAAGGAACGTATTTTTTTGGACGAATCAACATCCTCGAACGAAATCGTAGCTGCGGAAAGAGGAGATCGTGTTGTGGAGGAAGGACAAGTTTCAGAAATAGCTGAGACTGATGATGACGAAACTACTCTTCTTGTTTCTGGAGATCAACCACAATGTCGAATTTGCCTTGATGTTGGAGGTATAAATTAACCACTTCCTTATCTGATACAAGAATAGGCATATGTTGAGAAAATGAGACGACTTGGTTTGTTTTTTGGTTGCAGGGGAAGATCTGATTGCTCCGTGCAATTGTAAAGGTACTCAGAAGCACGTTCACAGATCTTGCCTTGATAATTGGCGTTCCACCAAGGTAAATTATCGCCATCATTGCCAGACAGTTTGTTCTTGGTTTTGAATTAATGGTTTTACTTAGCTTATCAAGTGTATTTTGTTTCTATGCAATATGTTTCAGGAAGGTTTTGCATTTTCGCATTGTACAGAGTGTAGAGCCTTCTTCAAACTCAGAGCCAATGTACCTGCTGATAGATGGTGGTTGAGATTGAGATTTCAGCTGCTGGTTGCTAGGGATCATGCGTTCATCTTCATTTCTGTCCAGACGGTACTACATGACTCCCATTTTTTCACATCCACACTCTTGTACATATACTAGAATTCCAAAATGAGAATGCTAATCCGTAGCTTATGACCAAATCCTTAGCTTATTGCCATACCACTTTATGACCAAATTCGTGGTTTCTTATTGCATTTGAAAACCGAAACAGGAGATTCCTTGTATGAATTCGGATTGGAGATTCATACAAGATATATGTGATGCTTAGTGAATGCATTTATATATACTAATGAAAAAGGCTTCTCACATCAACAGATTGTAGCATTCTTGGGGTTACTAGTTTACAAGTTCTACGGTGAAGAACTACGAGAAATGTTTGGTTATGAGGAACATCCTTATGGGTTCTACACATTGGCTGGTACAACTATTTTCGTTTTCTATAGGTTCATGGACATAATCGCCCAATCACCAGGCTTAGATTTGATCAAAATCATCTTTGTGCTGAACCACTGAGCGTATAATTAACATGATGGTCTGTTTTATGTTGCAGTTTTGGCCATTGTCTTGGTAGGACTGCTATACGGATTCTTCATCGCCATAATATGTGGTCAAAAGATCAACGAGCGGCATTACCATGTTCTCGCCAAACAAGAACTCACAAAGGTCCGGTTTCTTGCAGCTTTTCCGTTCTTGATTTACAGTAATCGCCTTTCTGGTATACAACACTGTTTTCGTGTCATTCACATCAGGAATATATAGTGGAAGACCGCGACTGCAAGAATGTTCCTGAGCTTGACCAGAGTCATGTGATGGAACTCAAAATGTTGGGACTTTATTGAACATATAGTACAAGGAAAGAGCTTGTTGGATCTTTACTTTTCATGTCACCTGTAAATTATATTCTTCATTGATTTATATGGTTGTTTCAACGGACGATTGTGTCATCGCCAAGTGGTTTTTTGATTTTTTTTCTATGTATCTTTTGATGAAAATGTTTATCTGTAAGAGTATACACATCAGACGCAAATTGGTTTCCAAAGTAAAGTATCGATGATCAATCTATGTTTCTTCTTCCTCGGTCGAACTCATACATATATCCCTAAAACCACCTCCTTCGGCTCGGTCTCAACCATCCAAGGTGGCCTTTAGATTAGAAGACCAAGAAAATATTTTATCAAATTAAAATAGGTGAAATAAAGAATCGATATCTGCAATAAAAGGAAGAAAAAGGAACAAAAATGGCTCACTTGTTCAGTATGAAATTGAATGTTCCTTGTGATGCACGTTTGAGAAGAACTTCCCTTGCCTCTACTGCGATCCCTTGAGGCTGTGTAGAACAAAATTTCAACATTGTTTTTCATCGTAAACAAAAAAAACTTAAGGTCTCTTTGGGAATCTAGAGAGAGACACCTCTTCTGGAAACCAAACCCCTGGCTGTGTGCTTCCTTCAAGCATTGCTACAACAAAAGCCGCGGTTGAAACTCCAACGGATCTGTAAACACAAGATATATCGGTTCTCATACATAGCTTTATACATGTGTGTGTTATATAGGGATGTTAAGGAGACTCACACGGATAGTTTTTTATGACTAAATAACCCAACTGTGGTCCGTCCATCCGAGCACTCCAAATCAACCTTCCCAAAGAGTTAAACATAAGTATCAATGGGTCACCGAAATAACTACTTAATACTGCAGATTATTTTCAATTCTCTGTTTTTTCACTTACCCTCATCGAGACACGCTCTCCAGCAAAGCTATCCATGGCTCTAACGACAGGGTCAAACAGCTCTACCATTTGTTGGACTTTGGTTCTGTCTCTAAGGACCTCCTGAAGCGTGCAAGACAAGCATTGCAATTTGAATACAGGAATATAATTGATCATGGGACCATTGACTCAGGTAAGGTCTGAGCATGATACCGATGGTAAGAGTTTTGTCATGATCTCCATTCCCCAGTTCCAGAAGAAAGGAGCTGTGCCGAATCGAGCAACGACAGTTGGCACTCCTAGAACTTCATGAGTTGATCTAACCTCTGGCAAATTCCTGAAAACAATCACTGTTCTAAGCAAATCCTTTCCAGTATGTTAATGGAGCTTTTGATATGGAAGAGAAACTTACAAAAGATAAACATCTCTTTTCCGGATGCCTTTTCCGAAATCCACGGTTATCATTCCACTATAGGGTCTTAGTTTCACCTTCTCCCCTGATCAAGTCCCACAATACAAGGCTAAGAAAATTTCTGAGAGAAAGATTTGTTTAGATTTCTAAGAGTTAAAAGTCCTATAACACTTACCTTGTTTATATGCAGTAACTTCCTCTCCGAGTAGTAGAAAACTCGTTGCTAATATTGTAGGACCCGCACCGCCAGTGCCTGCTGTGTAATAAGAGAACCTGATATGACATTGCGAGACAAGTAAAAGTCTGAGTCAACTACAAGAAAAAAAATATTGTTGCAATATGAAAACTATAGTTTCACTTACGATGACAAACATGTAAGAAAGTTCTTAGCGTTACCTCAATTTCTCTGGCTTTCCTTTGTCTTCGCTTATTGCTGCAGCGACCATTTCTGCTGCCATCACTATAAGAAAGTCAAACATGTTGTTAAATTATTGCAACAAAACAATCTCAAGCATAAAAGCTAGAGGGACAAGTATTCAGATCACCATTGCTAACTCCTGGATATATTCCAGCCGTTGTTAACGCCGGGATATTCGCAGCAATTGCCTCAGCTTCAAGAGATTTTGCACGGAAAGCATAGCTTGTGTCGTCACAAACATCAAGATATGCAGTCTGTTTCAGATATAAACAGAAAAAAGGACTCAATTCCTAAACTCAAAAACTAAACAGGAGGATTGCTCATCCATTTCGGACAAGGTAAGGTTTGGTGACATTAGAAACTGTGTTTTTACCTTATCCTCACCTTGGTCTTTATAGCAGCTTCAAGAACAGTGCATCGAGGAGCTTGCTGGAATGGTCCAGCGGCATGGACTACAAGATCTACGTCTGGATTCACAAATTTCACGGTGAATTAATAAAACTTCAAAAGCCAAAAGAAATCCCAGAAAAACTTATCTAAAATCCCTACCAAAATTGTCCAATGATAATGTCTTTGGTAAAGTGAAACAAACCTCTTAAACTTGTCTCAAGCATCTTAGCGTCATTGATATCTACTTGAGCAAACTCAGAATTCTCTCCCAATTTAGCCACCATTGCTTCACCTTTCTCTCTGCGCACAGAGGATGATTCATCTTAATGAATTTCGAACCTTTTCGACATTTCCATGGAAATTCAAAAAAAAAAAAATTCTCGCGAACCTGTTGCGTCCACCGACGACGATTTTTAGCTTGGGACATAACTTAGAGAGAGCAGTAGCAGTAGACCCGCCGACCCGACCCGTTCCACCCAACACTAATACCCGGTAGTTCCGGGTAGGATCCGAGAGCTTAACCTCCGGAACGCCGTCGTATTTCGTTTCGCTAGATGAAGCTGCTAGCACCGTGGCTCTGTACGGTTGCAGCAGCAGAGCTCGAGCCATTCTCTCTCCCTCCCTCACTCACCTCATCTCCTTTTGCAGTTTTATCGTAGACGATGATGACGTGTCAGATTTTGAACGGGATAACTTAGTTGGGCCTTTTTAGCCCAGTAAATAAATATATGGGCCTTATACTTGCGTGGTTCGAAGAGAAGAATAAATAGACTACAAGGCCCATCAATTTTTTTTTTGTAATGAATTTATTATATAAGTAATGATTAAATCGGTAGCTGCAGCACTACCAACTTATGTTATGTCGTGCTTCAGACTACCAAAAACAATCACTTCTAAATTTACTAGCGCGGTAGCAAATTTCTGGTGGAGCTCAAATGGTGACTCCAGAGGTATGCACTGGATGACTTGGAACAAATTGTGCGATAGCAAATCGGAAGGGGGAATAGGATTTCGGAATGTGGACGATTTTAATTCAGCTTTACTAGCAAAACAATTATGGCGGTTGATTACGGTTCCAGATTCTTTATTCGCAAAAGTGTTTAAAGGACGGTATTTTAGGAAATCCAATCCTTTGGAAAATATAAAATCATATTCCCCATCATATGGATGGCGGAGTATATGTTCAGCTAGATCTCTGGTTAATAAAAGACTTATTAAAAGAGTCGGATCTGGGACATCCATCTCGGTGTGGGAGGATCCCTGGATTCCAGCTCAGTTCCCGAGACCAGCAAAAAGTAATGGGTCAGTTGCTGACCCATCTTTAAAAGTTAAAGACCTTATAGATAGTCGGTCGAACTTTTGGAATATTGATCTCTTAAAAGAGATGTTTACTCTAGAAGATGTCGCTCTAATCAGCGCCATACCTGTGGTTGCGCCAACAAAAGAAGATTCTTTGGGTTGGCATTTTACAAAATCCGGAAAATATACAGTGAAATCGGGATATCATTCTACACGGATGGAAAAGTCGGAGACCAATTTAAACGTTTTTGGCCCTAACATCAACACATTAAAAGCATATTCTTGGCAAGTGCAGTGTCCACCTAAGATACGCCATTTCATATGGCAAATCTTACTGGGATGTGTACCGGTCACGGAAAATTTAAGGAAAAGAGGAATTGATTGTGACACGGGATGTGCCAGATGTGGCGCATCTGAGGAAACAATCAATCGTACACTCTTTCAGTGCCACCCGGCAAGGCAGATTTGGGCACTTTCACAGATTCCTACGGCTATGGGGATTTTCCCCACGGAATCAAATTTGACGAATTTGGATCACTTATTTTGGAGAATACCTACGGAAGTTGATTCGTCAGTCTTCCCATGGATTATTTGGTATATTTGGAAAGCAAGGAACGAAAAGATCTTTGAAAACATAGATACAGACCCAGTAGAAGTATTACGATTAGCGGAAAAAGAGGCACAATTGTGGCAGTCAGCTCAAATTGAGCTCCATAATGAAAATCATGGTTCTGTGAAATTGGTAAATCAAGATCGAATAAGGGATATTACACTTGAGGCGGAGTATTCGGGATACCGTTGTTTTGTGGATGGATCATGGAAAGAAAGTGATAAGTTCTCCAGTACAGGCTGGTTCTGTACATCGTCAAATGGAGAGCCGTCAACCATGGGAGCTGCGAACCTCCGTAGAAGTCTATCTCCACTACATGCCGAAGTCGAGGCCCTTCTCTGGGCGATGAAGTGTATGATTGGTGCAGATAATCAAGAGGTAGCGTTCTTTACAGACTGTTCAGACCTGGTGAAGATGGTGTCTTCTCCAACCGAATGGCCGGTGTTTTCAGTGTATTTGGAGGAATTTCAGAGCGACAAGGAGGAGTTTTCATCTTTTTCTTTATCTTTAATTTCTCGTAGGACTAATGTTAAGGCGGATAACCTGATATGAAAAGTTCGTACAGAACTGCTTCATATCACCTATGTAAACAACATTCCTTAGGAATGGCTCTTTTGAACTCTAATTAATTGCGGATGACAAAAAAAAAGAAGAATTTATTATATACATCCAGACAATATAAGCTTAGACGGTGTTTAAATATAAATAATTAAATAGCTCAAATCTATAACTATTCAACAACGTGTATAAAATTTTTGATACAAATTAAATGCAATCACTCATAAACTTAAATGCGAAATTGAATTTAGATGAGAAAAAAAAATGTTGTGGTGGAAACTGGAAGGGAAAAGAGAGAGCGTTGCGTCAGCAAAGGGTAAGCAGGTGACGTGTCAAGTCACGTGACCACAAATCTTGAGAGAGCCAAAACGCGGAGAACCTCTAGGGTTAATAAGAGGAGGACGGACGAAGTAGACCCCTACTAGGGTCAAAATAGTAAATATCCTGAAACCTGTGGGTTCCACTGTTGAGTGGCAGTGAGCTGTCAAACTGGGGAAGAGCGAATTTTTATTTTCCTTTTTTTCTTCTTATTCCATTTTTTTTTTGCTTCTTCTTCTTAAATTGCAACGTGCGTTTACATGGGCTCTGACGCTGTTTGTCCCTCGCCATTTGTAGATATTTTAATTTCCCAACAATTTAAACATTTTTTTCCCTTAAAAAAAAAAAACCATAATGTAAAATTAAAATTGCCAGCTTCTATGCTGCTGTTCGCCACATTCATTCATACACCAAAAGGACATTCGAATACTATTTAATAATTGCATATATATTTACAAATTTTTAACTATTGTTGTACTGCATAATTTTTAAAAAATGCTAGCATATTTTGATTTTAAATTGAGTAGCTAAATCAGATTTGTCATTTCATTTTCATTTTAAATATATTAAGTTAGCATGTTCCGACGGTTTATATACTTCAAATTTTAACAGCATGCATCTATATACTATTAAAAGAGAAGTACAAATGAAAATGGGTCGGGTTAAAATCAGAAAATTAACCCGAAATTCTGAAATCGGATCTTTGAAATTTTTTTTGGAATATAAATTCGAATTAATAATGAAAAATCGAATGAAAAATGAAATATTTATGGAAATCAAATAAAATCTGATTGTACTTATGGCAACTAATTATAAAAGCATATTCCGAACAATATTATACATTAATTACGTATAATAAATTTGTTCATATATTTTTGGAACTAATTCGATAACAATCAACGTTTTTATCATTAATTTCGCTCATTTTAGCCAATTATCATTAATTGAAAGATATCTTACTTGCTTCTAAAGATTTCTAGAAAATTTATCACACATAAGTAATACCCCATATGTTTTATAAATTAAATAGATATTTTTATTTTGGTCGTGTACATTAAATAGATATAAAATCCATGTAACTAATTTTAATTTAGTTAGATTAAATTGAAATTATGGTATTTTCATACCTATAACTTACCAAAGAAGTTTAATTTTCAGTTTATAAAGATTTATTGAATATGATTTTAGAATTATTCAATAAGATGATAAGTATTTATTAAATTTTGTGAATCATGAAAAATAATAACTAATTTTTAATCATATATTTCATCTTTCATCTAACAAATAAGATACATATTCTATTATTCTTATATCCAAACTTCATTTTGTTGTATGACTAAATAATATTCCTATTAGAGCTGTCAAAGCGAGTTGATTCGTCCCGTTAAACCCGTTTGCGATAGGCAAAAAATATTTTGACTTGTAGTTGTCGGTCCGCACGATCCGCGGGTAGCATATATGAAATACAAACCCGTCCCGCGAATGTATGCGGATTTGCGGGATTGTCCGTGGATTTTGTTTAAATAGTTTTAAAGTAATCAAAATTTAAAATACTACTAAAATAAATAAATAAATAAAAATACTATTATAGTTTGTCTAAATTACCACATGTTGAATAAATTATAATTTTATCCATAAATACTAACATGCGGGCTGATCCACCAATCCGCGGATGAAAACCGATTAAACGTATGACCCACTGCGAATTAATCCATGTGGCCGGCTTATTTGCGTGTTTAATATATTTTCCCAAATCTACCCCATAGTAAGATGATTTGGGCTCGATCCGCGGTTTTTGACCTATTTTGACTACTCTAATTCCTATGAATCGTCTAATTTTAGAATTTTAAAACACAAAATTCTATTTTGTAAATCATAATTAATACGATGGGTTTATTTATAAAAAAATTTAACATTTTCTCTACAATTCGTTATTATGAATATTTATAAGTATACTACATGATTTGTTATACTGAAAACACACAATATTAAACTCAACGTATGTAAACCAATATTTCCCGTGGTGAACCGCGGGTCCGATCCTAGTTTATATACAGTTCAGGAAACGATTTTAATTTACATTTAAAATTAAATTGCAATAACGAAAATTGAAGTAATTTAATTTAAAATAAATAAGGAAAATTGCAATAATGGCTGGCAGAAAATAATAATGCCAATGCGAAAAAAAAATGCACATAATATTGCCAAGTTGGCTAAAATGTAGGGCATGCTACAAAAAGGAGCAAAAAAAAAAAATTGAATATTACAATTGAACCCCTATACATATAGGGTTTATTGGACTAGATTTAGCCACGAGTCATTATCAATAATTAGCTCATGGACCCGTTTTATTATTGCTAATTAAATTATTCCGATGGTTAGAATTCTTCTAATTATTAATATTTTGGGGTCATGAGAGATTCCCAACGGCAAAAAGAGCACGCCGTTGAAACTTAATTCAAAGCAGAGTCTTAATAAATCGACCGGTCAAAGGTCAAACCAAGTAGTAGTATTACTCTTTTTTACTTTATTTTATTTTTATATGATTTTATGATTGGAGTTTAAATTGGGTTACGTTTGGTAATCTCCTATTTGTAACTGTCCTTAAAAATAAAGTGCGATTAAAGTAAAAGAGATAGACGACTGGGCACGACGGTAATATTATGCAAATAGAGGGTAGAAATGCTAAACAATATTGTTTTGGTGATTATAAACAAAAAAAAATAAAGTCGTTAATATGTAGTATAGTGGAATCAATTATTGACAAAACATCAAATTCCCTCTTTTATGAAATGTTATTTTTTGCCATATATTTAATCATTTTGTTTCTATTATTGTATGTTCAAGATAATTAGGTTGATAAAGAAGCGTAAGTTAAATACATTATGACAAAACAATAAAATAACAACCAAACAAATTATTTTTGTGTATTTTAAATATACCAGAAAAAATTGGAAAAAAAAAGAACTCTTCTGTTTTCTTATTATTAAATTTTTTAATAAATAAATTAACCAAAATATAGCTCAATGTTCCTTACTTATTTTGTGAACCAATTTATTTTGTCAAAATAATATATAGAATAAGTATTAATCAAATGGAAAATTTGTTATCGAAAACAATTTAATAAACTGAAAATTAATCAGGAAGAAAAGGAAAAAAAAAACGAAACCGTCGACATTTAAAAAAGACGAGAGGGTTTATTGTAATTACGCGATATATATACACACTTATATATATATATACACAAGTTCGCTTTCCAGCCCCTTCTCTCTCCTTCCGCTTTTGTCTCTGCCGAAATCCATAAATCTCTTTCTCTCTCTGAATATTTAATCGTCACTTGACCGCCGGTAAGAAGAAACTCGAAAGTTTCAATCGTTTTCTAACCTTTGCCGGAGATTATTGACCATCGAAATCGAAGCAGTTGTAGAGCAGTGACAGCTGAGCAAGAAAGGCGGCGGAGAAAAAAGCAAGTAGAGAAGTCGAGAGAGAAAAGAAAAAACAAAGTAGGTGTTGATGATGATGATGATGATGATTACACAAATTCGTATAGGGTTTTATAATCGACGGTGTTCGCTGTTCGTGAACTCTTTATTGGAGTAAGTAAAAGCTTCAGAGAGATTGTTGTGTGTATTTGTCCTTTTTTGGTTCTGTTTTTGGGTGGTTGTGATGGGGAAAGTGGCGGTTGCGTTTGCGGCGGTGGCGGTTGTGGCGGCTTGTTCTGTTGCGGCGGTGATGGTTGGGAGGAGGATGAAGAGTCGGAGGAAATGGAGGACTGTGGTTGAGATTTTGAAAGAGTTGGAGGATGATTGTGATACTCCGGTTGGGAGGTTGAGGCAAGTGGTTGATGCTATGGCGGTGGAGATGCACGCTGGATTGGCTTCTGAAGGAGGCTCTAAGCTTAAAATGCTCCTCACTTTCGTCGATGATTTGCCCACTGGGTATGATTTCTTTCCTCATTAGGGATTTCTTTTTTTTTCTTAGATTAGTGAACATTGATTGAGTAATGTGTGAAAGATGAATCCTTTCTTCTGTTTCTTGTGTTTGCTTTTTGATTTATCAAGTTTTACTCTTCTCAGGTTCTTTATGTTTCTCTACATTGCATGATCCAAAATCCTTATTCTTACTCTTTGTAACCATCAAGTAAAATTTGTTTACTAAATGTTGAGAAATCGTTGTTGCTTGATACTTCTTTAGCTCTAAAATGCGAGTTACGAGCTCTCTCCTGGTCGTAGTGGCTGTGACTTTGAGCTTTAGTTGGAGCCAGGGAATTAAAGAAGTGTCAGTGGGTACCATTTTGCAGGGACAGATCCTTTGATTCTGTTCTCTCTCTTTTTTGTTTATGTGAAATTTACATATCCGGTAAAAGCTTTAAGGACTTCTCCTCTTTTTTTTTTTTTTTTTTTCTTTCTCTCTTATCTCTTACCTTTACTTTGGTATCTTGTTCCTTTCCACTAGATTGCTACTGCTCAAAATGAACTGGTTTCTTCTTATTGTAGCCATTGGATTCTCTCTTTATTTTAGGAGATGCATTTTTCAATATATTTGCAGGTTTTTAACTTTCGTGTAGACTCATCATTGTCACAACAAGTCTGTTTGTTCAAATGTTTACATCCAATCATTGCAGTTATGTGTTGGATTGCACTGACTGACTGCTTTTATTTCAGGAGGGAGAAAGGTACTTATTATGCACTTCATCTTGGAGGCACGTATTTTAGGATTTTAAGAGTTCATCTGGGTGGTCAAAGGTCTTATCTAGATGTTCAAGATGTCGAAAGACACCCAATACCTTCACATTTGATGAATAGCACCAGCGAGGTGACTAATTTGCTTTTTATTTCCTACCAGTCTTTGCTTGTTATATTATATGCAGACTGCTTAATTTAGTCTCTGTTCTTTTGTTTACATGATTGCAGGTTCTTTTCAACTTTCTCGCTTTTTCCTTGGAAAGGTTTATTGAAAAGGAGGGAAACGGGTCCAATTCACAAGGTGTTAGAAGGGAACTTGCATTTACGTTTTCATTCCCTGTCAAGCATACTTCTATTTCTTCAGGAGTTCTAATCAAATGGACCAAAGGTTTTGAGATTAGTGAAATGGTTAGTACAATGATGCTTACATTGCTTTCTATATTCTCTGCAACCCCGTGGCTCGTCTTTCAGATATCCCTTGGTACTTTTTAGAATAGTACTCAAGTTGATATCCTGAGAGCACTCTTTTGTTGTGATTTTGTGACAATGAAATCCATCTCTTAGTGTTTGGTGTGAGTTCAACATATTCAAATTCAAATTTATTTGAACCTATAACAAGCAAATCCTTACTATTTTAGGTTGGACAAGATATAGCTGAATGTCTACAAGGAGCGCTTAACAGAAGAGGCCTAGATATGCACGTTGGGGCTCTTGTAAGTGCTTTGTCACTGCAACATAATCATTTCCTTGGCCAAATTCTGGCACATCAACCAAAAAATTTCAAACTTTCTTTTTGCTTTCCTTACCTTCTTTACTACTAAAAATATCTATGTAACTGTCAAAAGATCTCATGAAATGTTTCTGCTTAATTCTGATTCAGTTTCCTCGTATGAGCAGGTGAATGATACTGTGGGAGCCTTGTCGCTTGGATATTATCATGATCCAGACACAGTTGTTGCGGTTGTGTTTGGAACAGGTAGTAATGCATGTTACTTGGAACGAACCGATGCCATAATTAAGTGTCAGGGTCTGCTTACAACTTCTGGGAGCATGGTACTAAGAATCATTTCATGGTCTATTTTTAGAAGCCAGCTTATGATCCAAGAGAAAGATGTGTTAAAGATTGATCCTCTCTTATGTTTCAGGTGGTCAATATGGAGTGGGGAAATTTTTGGTCCTCACATTTGCCTAGAACTTCCTATGACATTGACTTGGATGCAGAGAGTTCAAATGCAAATGATATGGTAATTTTTTTTTGCCATACTTCCCTATTTTTCCCGTTCTGTAATGCATCAGGAGTTATCAGGTAACCAATTAGCATCAACATCTTTGTGGGTTTTCTTATATAGGGATTTGAGAAGATGATATCAGGAATGTATCTGGGTGACATTGTTCGTAGAGTAATTCTTCGCATGTCACAAGAGTCCGATATCTTTGGACCCATCTCGCCTGTGTTATCTGAGCCTTACGTTCTAAGGTACACATCCGCATTACCTCTTGCTAAAAATTTGATTATTTTCTAATTGGATGCTTGGTCTCACATCATGTATTATCTGCATCAACATCTTACTGAACATGTACACTCTTTGATCTTCTGTATCAACTATCTAATTAGCAATGTGTACTTGAACCTCTCAGAACAAATTCAGTCTCAGCCATGCATGAAGATGACACACCTGAGTTACAAGAAGTAGCAAGAATCTTGAAAGACTTGGGGGTAAGTTAGAAAGCTCACAATTATTGAACTTATAATGGAACTTGAAGGTTGAAAACGTTATGGAACTTGTTATGAATGAACAAAACAGGTATCAGATTTACCAGTGAAGGTGAGAAAACTAGTGGTGAAAATATGCGACGTGGTTACAAGAAGAGCAGGGAGGCTAGCAGCAGCAGGAATCGCAGGAATCTTGAAGAAGATAGGCCGAGATGGAAGCGGAGGGATCACGAGCGGGAGAAGCAGAAGCGAAATCCAGATGCAGAAAAGAACAGTTGTTGCAGTAGAAGGAGGTTTGTACATGAATTACACCATGTTTAGGGAATACATGGAAGAAGCTCTCGTTGAGATATTAGGAGATGAAGTGAGTCAATACGTGGTGGTTAAAGCCATGGAAGATGGTTCTAGCATTGGCTCTGCTCTCCTAGTTGCCTCTTTACAGTCATGAATCATCGTCGTCGTCGTTGGTATTAATGGTTTATATAATTGGTTATGTTCGTCCTTGTGTGTGTAAATAAATTATTCAATATTTGTTTGTTGTTAATTATTATTATATTGTGTAAATGTTTAGGAAATTTTTATATATTCTTTGTTTCTTCTACTATTCTTATGATGGTGTTTTGGGAAATAGGTATTGGTTTTTTAAGAAAATGATTTACACTATGTAAAGGTGATGATGCTATATAGAATGTCAATTTCCATTATATATCTTTTTTTTGGTGAATTTCTATTATATATCTTTTGTCGCTTTTAGCTCTACTAAAGAAAATCGTTTGTTTAATTGATTAAAGAAGAAGAGAATCTTCTCTTTTCTATCTTTGCTTTGTAGAATTCTTCCAAAATAATAATGTTCAAAAAGAGTTATTAAACTTCATTGGTTTTTTTCTTTCATTACGTCCGGAACAGAATTTTGGAATGAATAGACAGTAAAAGTTGTTCGAAGTTTAGAGGTCATCGATTCGAGTAACACTTGAGATGAAACTAATATTAAATATTGTAATTTCGGGCTTGGAGGGATTATGGGCTTTGGTCTAAAATCTCCTAGTATTCAAAAAAAAATAATAATAATAAAGTTGGTATACCAAATCCTTAAAAAGAAGAATGTATCAAATCAAAGCAGTTGGACACATCTCTTCCTACTTATTGTATGTCTTGTTACATTTTTCTAATCATTCTCATAACCTCTGTTATCTATAACTTTTGGTGGTCTTTGAAAGAGAGATAGAAGATATTATTGACCCGACATGGATAAGATCATAAGATAAAAAAAGATCATGAGATAATTGTGTAAGAGACCTCAAAGATTTTAGCTTAGCCTAGTGGCAAAACAAGGACAGAGATTCCTCAAATCTCCTTAGTCTTTTACTAAGCGGGTAATGCGATTTAATGGAGTCGAACTCCGGTAAAGAATGTGGAGTCAAATGGACTTAACCACTTGACTAAAGACATATCTCCTTTTACTAGCTAGAGTCTATAAAACTAAATATCGAAGTTTCTATGAGGCAGAATAAGGTCATCGATCTAATTATGCTTGTAGATGTATATTATAAAGTGTAATTAATCTCCTAAAGCAAAGGTTGAGATGAGTAGTGGGTAGAGGACATCAAAACTAATGTTTGGAGAGACAATAATTCACCAACGCCTCCCCAAAACATATGAACTAGATTCTGCCATTATTAAAAAAGTAAGGCCGATCCAATGAAAATATTGATTTTTTTTTTTTTTTTTTTTTTGACATCTTTGGATCGACAAGGTCCGATCCATAGTCAATCCCTACTACGCGGAGTAACGCGATTTAGTGGAGTCGAACTCCGGTGGAGAAGGTGTAGTCAAATGAACTTAACCACTTGACTAAAGGCACATCCCTAATATTAATTTAAATTTGAAAAAAAAAATTTGTTGTCTCTTACATAATAATTGCTTTAAGAAAATGTAAAACTATGTTAAAATTTTTTTTTCTCCAAGCAATATTTTTTTCACTAAAACTAATAGGGATCTTTACTGAGATGTATAACATTTTATATGAAATTACCAGATACATACAGATCTTTTTTTTATTACTATCATATTTCGGGTATATTTTTTATACCCAGCGTGCCCCTGTTAAACATTACAGGAAAAAACGTAATTACAAAGAATGCCACTGCCATGTCAGCAAAGCCGCGTCGCCACGTCAGAAATCGCTGACGTGTATTAATGAACTCAGCCGTAAAGCGATACAGCGGCAGTGACGGCTGAGTTACGGTTAGTAGCGGCTGATTTATGGAAAATGACTGAGTTATGAACAAACGGCTGACTTACGAGTATAACTCAGACATTAGTTACGGCTGAGTTAATGAAGTCGGTCTGAGTTATGAGAAAATGGCTGACTTTCGAACATAACCCAGCCTAAGTTATGGCTGAGATTTCACCCGTTGGTTGATTTGTCAAAATTTTGGCTGAGTTATTGCTTCGACACGGCTGAGTTAACTTTTTCCGGTTGGCTGAGTTATCAAAGACAGCCTAGTTATGTGATGTCGTTACGGCTGATTTAGCCTCTAGTGTCATAAATCAGCCGTAATGAGCTGAGTTAATGGAAAACTCGGCCCAATTACGGCTGACTTAGTAGCGAAAGATTAATTACTAGAATAGCTTGCAATTACGGCCGACTTATCAAACGATACGGCTGAGTTAAAGATTTTTGGTTGAGTTACGACATTAAACGGCTGAATTTGGCTGCATTTTTTTCGATTTTTAATTACTGTAATAGTATGCATGTTGCGACTGAGTTAAAGTTTTGTTTGATGGCTGGTTTAATTCGGTTGATTAACATTTTCGTTTGGTGGCTTACTTGCCACTTCATCAATTAAAAAAATGACGTCGGATGCAACATTCCATGTCATCATTCTATGTCAGCATCATCAAGGGAAATATGAAAGGTCTTTTCTACTACTCATCTTCTTCTTGATTGTGTCGATCTTCACATGTGTTTTTTCACATCTCTGGAACTTAAATTTCACTCGACTCGTCATCGTCTTATTTCTTCATTTTCGTTCTTCCTTACCCCGATATGACTGATCCGGTTCCGGTAATGGTTGTTTCCGGTAATTGGGTAAAGAAACACAAATTCGTATTTAACACCGACGATAAAGGGTGTAGAGTTGTGCAGATAGATGCGGAAACAACGCACGACAAGCTTGTGAAGTTGGTGCTCGATGACTACGGATTGAATGAGTTGAGCCATCAGTTAAAGCTGAGCTACATGTTCTCGAAGAAGGCTATGAAAAATATGTCGCTTGATACTCCACCAGTTTATGTCTCCAATGATCGACAGTTGCAATGTTTTCTAAGCCTACGAAAAATCGATCAACTACGTCTCTGTGTGGAATTTACGGTGAAAGAGTATATGGAAATTAGTCGGAAGGACGGATCGAGAGGAAGAATGAAACGGGCATCCAGTTCTGACTCAAAATTAGAATCTAGATACGAAGTTCCCGATGGTGGATTTGAAGGTTTCTGTTATGATTATAGTGAAAATCAAGACGAAGAAGCAGGTGACGAAGAAGCAGGTGACCAAGAAGCAGATGACGAAGAAGAAGATGATGAATTTTCAAGCCGATTTGATGTTTTCGACGACTCCGATGGTGCCTCATCTGATGATGATAACTTTACTGTATACGGTGATCCTCAGAATAAAGACGAAGATTCACCGTCTCTGCCTCCTAAGAAGAAACCTCAGAACATTGAAATGGCCGGATCGGCTGGGAACTCGGAGGCTTTAAGGTTGGAGTTGTCTTCGCTAAACCTCGTTGTAGGTCAACGATACCGGAGCAAAGAAGATTTGGTGTATCGACTCAAACTTCTTGCGGTAAGGGATGGATTTGATTTTAATGTACCAGTATCAAATTCGACAGCAGTGAATATTGTTTGCTGGGTTGATGAATGTCGATGGAGAGTTCGTGCATCTACACAAGGGGATGAGCCACA